TTTTTTTTTGGCACTCTGTTTCTAGTTTAAGTTAGATTAGGCAAGTACTTTTTGTAGTGTATGAACTACACTAGTTAGTGTAAGAATATAAATGATGAAAATAATGAGTTTAGTATAAATCATCCTCGGTGGTAGTAGATATTGCAAATAACAGTTTATTCTGCTTTTCACTTTTGATTAAATTCTAATCAATGACAGATATGTGATGTATTTGAAATGTCTGAGCGTGGGTATATGGGTGGTTGCTGATCAGTTCTTCTGCATCCATATCCACACCTACATCCTATATATATTGTTAGCAAGGGGACAAATATTAGATTATAAGCAAAACTTTATCAAGTTCTTTAGTCTCATACTGATGCCATTTTCGTAAACTAGGACCGACTTTAACAACAGCAACAACAACATCATTATCATCATCAACAACATCAACAACAACGTCAACAACAACTAAAACATCAACAACAACAACAACAACAACAACAACAGGTGAGTTGTTTATAACTTTTCAAATTATTAGAAAAAAGCGTATGCAGTTAGTGTAATATACAGACTACAATAATGTAATTTGCTAAAACGGTTTGCAATTTGTCGCCATTAAATCCTATATAATGTTTCTAGTTCAGTTCATCATAAAAATATAATCAGAACAGCTGAGTTATTATATTTCAAAAATATGTTTATTTGTACAACGAATTCATACTAGAGGTGTCGGATGAATTGTTTTTATACAGATTGGTATTGGGTTCGAGTGCGTATGGATCAAGCTTAGCGAAACATAGTAGGTTACATATATAGGCATATGTGTATTCGGAAACAAAGATGTTTAATTCAGTTTTAACTTAATTTACAAATTAAAGTTCTATATCTGTGAGTAGTCCTTCATATCAAACTCAATTTTTTTACATGAATAGCTGCCGACCTTATGCATCAACACATATCATATTTTCTAAAGAAATAAATGCAATAGAAATTAGTATGCCATATCTAAGAACTATTCCCATCCACTTTACAATATCACATATCTAACTGGTCTATCAGTGTTGGATAATAGAATGGTTGTTCTTTTTCTGTTTTTTAATAGTATGTACTGTATCTTCTCAATCGACCTGGTCACAAACTGCTACTACTATATTTGGCAGCCAAGCGGGGACATCTGGTTCTACCCTTTCACTTCTTAATTCTCCAGTTGGAATGTATTATGACCAAACTAATAATAAATTAATCGTTGCTGATACGGGAAATTATCGTATTCTACAAGTTTCTCTCAATAATCCACCTGCAGTTGCAACAGTAATTGCTGGAAGTAATGGCCAAGGTTGCAACATGAATCAGTTTAATAATGCTGGTGGAGTAGCTCGTGACAGCTCTGGTAAATTGTACGTAGCAGATTACGCTTGCAACCAGTTCGTCAGATTTCCACCAAATTCGACTTCGACGACATCGGGAACACTTTTAGCTTCTTTCACTGAAGCAACAATTATATCTGTAAATGCATTGACTAATGATATCTATGTAGTTAGCGCTAGTGGTAGTACAGTATACAAGTTTGTTGGAGGTAGTGGACCATCAGTGATTGCAGCAGGTATATACTGATCTTCAAAGAAATCGTTTGGTTAATATTAGTTTTATTTTCATGTATAGGTGGCAATGGTAATGGAAATGCCTTGAATCAACTTGCAGGACCAAATGGTGTTTACTATGATTATTCATATACAAATGCATTGTACGTTACCGATCAAAATAATTATCGTATAATGAAATTTCCATCAGGTTCAACGAATGCAACTTATGGAACAGTTGTCGCTGGAGGTAATGGAGTTGGAAGTGGAGCGAATCAGTTGCATAGTCCAAGATCTATAGTGGTCGATAGTAGTGGAACTCTCTATATAGCTGATGCAGGTGAGAGCATTTTTAAAAAAAGAAAATATTCTATAGATTAAAAAAATATTGCTTGACTTATTTTTCTTATCTAGGTAACAATCGTGTTCAACGTTGGCTAACAAATGCGACTAGTGGAACTACAATCGTTGGTGGTATATCAGGAACAGCATCGAATCAACTCAATTGGCCTGAAACAGTCCTCTTTGATAGATATTGTAATCTGTTGGTTTCTGATAGAGGAAATAATCGGATACAACTTTTTAATTCAACAACAAGCTAGTGTATAACGATTTACTACTAATTATTACCGTTAACAATGAAACTTTAAAAATGCTGAGTAATATCTCGATTTCTTTTAAATATTAACAAAAGGAATATACACTGTAGAATTAAATTTGCTGTGTGATATAATCGAAAGACGGGCTAAGCCAATATTTGATAAAAAAACCAGATTTGCTACTAGCTTTAGTTTAACCATGCATTTTCTCTCTTTTATTGTTGTGTTTAATTCATTTTCTCACCGTGTGTATCTATAATATCTTTCTTTTTTAGTCCAATGAGAAAAGATAGAAAGTAAAAATATCAAAAAGAAAATACATAATGTTTGGCGAGATATTCATAAGATCATTGAAGAAATAGAAATAAATCATAACATTTATTTAGAGTAAATGTAATATAACATGAATCACTATCATCCCTTTTCCCATTTTTGATCAAGATTTTGTAACACTCAAATATTTTAATCATCTCATTTTAATAATATCAGATGATTGTTCAATCTTTTTCTATTCTACTTTCTAATTTCGATACTTTTTTCTTTCTTATATGATATCTTCGCTGACATATCGTCGTTTCTTTTTGTGTTTGTTTTCTCATATTATTCCCTGCACGTACATAATCATATATATGCGTTCGTTTCTCTTTTCTTATATTCTGTTATGCTTGATGTCATTGTGATTGCATGTGTATACTTATACATTCAAAATAAACGTAAAAAGAGTTACTCAACAAATCCTCTAATACCTGACGGTGAGTTCTATCAATTAGATTAAAGCGGTATGAAGTATGCAGCTATGGTCTTTGCCTGAAGAAATGGTAGGTGTGGATACAGATGTATGAGTGCGTATTACAGTGATATTGTGGATGTTATAGCCATCTCTAATCTACACCCTCAGTATAAGACCTTTTTTTGAATCGGAAACCAATGTATTTTAAGTCACAAGGTATAAGTGTGAACATGAATACTTGATTCAATACACGCCAATACCCACACCCTCAAGACGAACTACCATAACGCGCTTCGATCTTGTTCATGAGGCTTCTCAGGTCAATTCGTAATCTAATTTTAGTACATCTCGATTAATGTCAAATTCTTATCGAAGTAAATGAAAGTTTCAATAAACAGGTTCTCACAGCTTTCAAATAAAAGCAAGATACATCTCTGTCGTATCCAATGTTGTTGAAACTTCTGATTTTATACTTTTTTGGATGCACGACGAATAACAGCACTTTGAACTAGTAGCAGCTTCACCTCTACAAGAGAAGGAAAAGTCATGCTATCAGCAAGAAAATTTCTGCTTAAATCTGATAAACTCGTTTTTTTCGACCAATCAGTGTGCAGACAGGCAGGCGCGTATTTTCTGTTTACAATACTCATACTTTGAAGATTAAGAGTCATATGGTAACGTATTTGCTTTATAAACTGTGAACTTCGAAATCATTATGTAAGACAACGTATTTTCTCGAATAGGATGTTACGAATTTTTTTTGCTTTTCTGTACTTGGTAAAAGTATTGTACAAAATAGGATGGGTGTGAATCTGGATCTGAATGTAGGTGTGAGAATGTGAATATTACATTCATTACATCCACACCCAACCTTCTGACAATTCTTTTGTATTTATTTAGACATATACATGTAAATGCACTTGTATAAATCCATATATATTTCTCTAGATAAGGACGATGATTTTGTATTTCATAGCGCTTTACTTCGATTGATTAAACTCACCATAAATCATTAAAGGATTTTATGAGTAATCCTCTTTACCTTTATTTTAAATGTATAAATATACACGTACAATCAACATAATATCAAGCCCAATGAAATACAGCAAAAAAAAGCAACGTGCATGCGCATATATGAGAAAACAAACACAGATAAATATGATGTTATGTTGCGAAGATATTATATAAGAAAGAGACATATTGTAAGGTCAAAAAAAGAAATGACTACAAAAAGACAATGAGAAAAATATAAAAATTAAAACGTAGAATAGAAAAGATTGAGCAATCAGCTGGCACTACTAAAATGGGATGCTTAAAACATCTCTGTGTGCGTGAGATCAATACGAATAAACTCTTAAAAGAATTATATCACATCGTTATTAAAACATCTAAATCAAAAACAAGAAAATATTCAATTATTGTTTGTATTATATTATAACTACTGTAAATGAATGTTATCCTTTGTTTCTATTTCTTCAATGATGTAATGAATAACTCGACAAATAGTCTATATTTTAATTTTCATGTTTTTCATTCGATATTTTTACTTTTTGTCTTTTCTCATCATATCGAAAAAGAAAGATATTATTTATGTATGGTGAGAAAACGAATTAGAGACAATAATAGAAGAATAAAAATGCATTATTAAGAAAAATCTGGTATTTCTTCAAGCACTAAATTAGTCCATTTTTTGATTATCTCACACAATACATTTAATTATAAAGCATATTTTCTTTTTTATTAACATAAAAACTATGAGAGAAATGTTACAACAAAAAAAAATATGAATCAGTACTTGAACACTTATGAAAAATCAAGAAACAATCAACACATTAACGGGCTTTTTTAAAGTTTCATTCTTAACGATAATAGTCGATAGTAAGCCCTTATATACTAGCATGTTGTTAGATTAAAAAATTGCATTTGATATTTCCTCTATCAACAATTAATAAGTTACCATATTTATCAAAGAGTGTGGGTGTAGTCAATGAAGAAGATAAACTTTATATTCACACCCACACCCACACCCTCAAGATACTTTATAGTTCAATTAATCTATAAAGTTTATCAGATAAATTTCTTCAAACAGTCATATTTGAAAGACAACTAATGAGTATTCGAAAATCTCAACCAATATATAGTCTAATAGTGTAGTAATACAAAAAATATGAAATGTGTAGTATATTTTCTTTAAAGGAATTTATTTTTATAAAATTCTAATGAGTTAAAGTTGATGCTCATTAATATTTATCAATTTCTAAAATAATATAAGATATTCTATTATCAAATGTAGAACGAATATAAAATTGTTTAGAATTAACAGAAATATAATAATGATACTGATATAACTATCGTGACTTCGTCTAATTCAATAGAAAACCTGATTGTTTTTAAATTAGTAATTTACATAAATAAAAATTTTCTATGAAAATTCGAACGTCACAATAAGTTACAATTTAATATTTTCCTTCATGGTTTAGTTTAAATAATATATCAGTTGCATCTACTTCGTTTTTCATTCTATTGTTTCAATATCTATTGGCAGTAAAAATCTATAAATTCTTTTTTAAAATCATTTATACATGTTATTAATTTTTTATTGCAAAAATAAAATAAAATATTTAAATTTATTTTAATAAACATAGAACTAACAGAAATATTTTTTTTAAAAATTCAATTCAATAATGAAAACTAAATTGTTTGTCTTAAATATTAATATTCAACCAATGATATATTAATATTTTTAATGGTGACACCTATGTAATAATACTTTCTTTTTTTATTTCTGTATAAAAAACATCCGAGAATACGTTTCAATAATTGCTAGATTGTATATGACAAGAATATTCTTCTTAATATAAGAGATATTTCATATTTTTACATTTGTTACATTTAATTGAAATTGCGTTTCATTTTGATAACTAAAAGACCATGTGATATTATGTATTGATTACGAATACAAAAAGGTAATTACTACAAAATGTGCTGTGTTATTCTGTATATGTTTATTATCTATAAAAATTTATTCATAATAATATCGACCTAATGATGTTTTCGATATTCTATGATTGTGAAAAGGATAGAACGTAATTCAACCATTACTAGACAAGCAATCAGCCGTGAATATATGCATGTTTTCATACCACTACAACTTGTTTTACACATGTATAAGTATATAAGGAGACCGTTTATTCTAACTCGATATTTTCATTTGTTTTGACGCAAAATTTGTTTTTTTCTTCTATTAATCATAACTTGTGCAGCAGATCAGTTTTCAATTGAATAGACTATTAAGCACAAGCTAAAACATGGTAGAACGCATGATAACAATTAAAACCAGTAGACTTGATGATTATCTAGATGTTCAAGATAATCAGTTAAGTAAAGATTCAATACTAAGTACTGATTCACAAAAAATCTCAGACTCTCAATCTGGACCATCCAAGTCTGATGAAGGTGGATTAGAACCAATAAACTTGAAACGACGTTTATTTGGAATAACTTCACCTTCAATTGACAGTATTAATGATGGAGAAGGGCCTACATTAGCAACTGCATTAGCAAAACACATTGAAAAAAAAGAACGACGCGCAACTGAACAAATGGTATGTTACTTGAAGAAAAAAAAGAGAAAATTAATCGATAATAATTTTATTTTTGTCAATAATTTCATTGATTTG